CCATTTTATTTTTGAAATTTTTCTTAGTTTTATTTATATATATATATATATTTTTTTTAAATGAGAGCTGCACATCATGATGATATTGAAAATTGTCTTCAGGAGCTTGTCAGTTTAAAATCTAATATGCAGTGATGTGCTCCATGGAATCATCATCTACTGTCCTTAAAAAAAAAATGGTCACAAATGGAATACTGCTTCCAAATGGAATTCTGCTTCCATATAAGGTCACTCCCAGGAAGACTTGGCCTCTTTCCACAGTGTTCAATAAGTCTGCTGCTGGCCCAGAGATCCATGAGCTGTTAAAGATGTTTACATGTCGCCAATGTGCTGTAGATCTCCGCAATGGGAGACTTGGCAATCGGATTGTGCTTTGTTTATGCCATTAATTACAAACATTGTAGATCTGGATTAGTAAATTGTACATTGGCAGTACTGTGATATGCCATTGTTCATTATTTAATTTATTGTAAATAGAATTTATGATGTTTGCAGTAATTGAATAGTGCCTGACATATTGTTTAAAAGCTAAGTCCATTGGAAAAGAAAACTGCACCCACATTTGCAGAAAAAAATGGAATAATTTTTTAGAAATGAGCCTGCAAAGCATTGCAACCGTAATCGGTGAATGCTGAGTGCATTGCCAGGCTCGTGCAGAATTGGTAGGACTTTAGGTTATTGAGGTTATTGAGCTGGAGGAGCGTCTATGCAGGTGGTGCCACACACAGCAGTGCAAAATTTTAAAAGTAACAGATTCCATTGGGGAGAAGAAGCCCACGAACCCCTTGGGGGTGATGGGATGGGGGATGCTAGCACCATGTTAAACATTACACCCTATATATAGGTGTAATGTGATATAAAACAGGCTTTCTCAATTACGCCCTTACAGATAGCTAAAAAGGTTATTGGTGTCAGTGGGAACTTATCTGAGGGCAGAAATTATTCCTTGCTCAAGGAACCCCTAGCAACTTCTGGAGGAACCTGAGATTCAGAAACCCTGGTATAAATGGTGGACTTGGCCTTTGCAGTGCAAAACATAACTTGGCAAATAGCAACTACCAAGAGAGAAAACAAATTGAAGTCCAGGCAGGATGGGTTAGAGGGAGGTGGGGGCAAAATTATTATGGGAGATGGCTTTAAAGTATAACGGGCAAAACGTGTTTTTTCTTTTTTTGGGGGGACTGGGTGGAGAGGGATTAGAACCCATGTCAGGTTTTAATAGCTGTCTGTGCCCCCATTAGGGAAATTCATCCTCTCTGTTTGTCCTGTTTATTGTTATTCCTAAGACTGAAAGTAAATTTAATTTTATGGTGAGAACCAAAAATTTGGATAGCAAAGAAATCTTTCAATGGGAACATTAGTACTGATGACCCTTGTGACAGCCAGGGATCCCCTCACTTTGGGATATTTCCTTTTACTTCCTGTTTTGGCTTTAGGACAGGAAGGGAGGGGACATCTCCAGAATGGGACAAATATGAGAAAAATAAAGCTGACAGGTGGTATATCCCTCCTTTGTTCTATAAAAATGAAAAATATTGCCTTTAGTTCTACTTTTATATCTAATTGGAAAGGGTTTTCTAAAAATAAAAGGGTACCTACAAAAGAAGACTGTTCTTACTTTTCTCTTTGAAGGGCTCAGAGATTGTAGCTTTCTCTGCTAAAGAGCTACAGCCATCTTTACATCAGCCACATCTAGGAGTGTTAGATGTCTGTGTTCACACTTTTAGAGCTGTTATTCCTCTTGTCAGCCACTTATTTGTCAGAAAATCAGGCACCTAGGCTTTCAGACTGCTTCTACAAACATTTGTGAAAGAATGGGTCACTCTCAGGAGCTCAATGAATTCAAGCGTGATAACGTGATAGGTTGCCACCTGTGCAATAAGTCCATCCGTGAAATTTCCTTGCTACTAAATACGATCAATTGTTGGTGGTAATATAACATATATAAGTGGAAGCATCTGGGAACAACAATTTCTCAGCCGCGAAGTGGTAGGCCACGTAAAATGACAGAGTGAGGTCAGCGCATGCTGAAGCGCACAATGCACAGAAGTTGCCAATTGTCTGCAGAGTAAATAGCTAAAGACTTCAAAACGTCTTGTGGCCTTCAGATTAGCACAACAACAGTGCGTAGAGAGCATAATGGAATGGGTTTCCATGGCCAAGCAGCTGCATCCAAGCTTTACATCATCAAGTGCAATGCAAAGTGCCGGAGTGGTGTAAAGCATGCCGCCACTGGACTCTAGAGCAGTGGATACGTGTTCTCTGGAGTGACGAATCACACTTCTCTGTCTGGCAGACATGTCTGGATTTGGTGGTTGTCAGGAGAACGGTATTTGTCTGGCTGCATTGTGCCAAGTGTAAAGTTTGGTGTAGGGGGATTATGGTATGGAGTTGTTTTTCAGGGGTTGGGCTTGGTCCCTTACTTCCAGTGAAGGGAACTCTTAAGGCGTGAGCATACCAAGACTTTTAGTCAATTTCATGCTCCCAACTTTGTGGGAACAGTTTGGGGATGGCCCCTTCCAGTTCCAACATGACTGCCCACCAGTGCACAAAGCAAGGTCCATACAGACATGGATGAGCTAGTTTGGGGTGGAGGAACCTGACTGGCCTGCACAGAGTCCTGACCTCAACCCGATAGAACACCTTTGGGATGAATTAGAGCGGAGACTGCGAGCCAGGCGTTCTTGCCGACATCAGTGTCTGACCTCACAAATGCGCTTCTGGAAGAATGGTCAAACTTTCCCATAGACACACTCCTCGTGGACAACCTTCCCAGAAAAGTTGAAGCTGTTATAGGTTGGGCAAGCTCAATATTGAGCCCTACAGACTAAGACTGGGATGCTATTAGGGTTCATGTGCATATAAAGGCACACGTCTCAATACTTTTTGCAATATAGTGTACATTGTATGCATAGGGATGCACCGATACATCGTCAGCCAGAAATGGGTTTATCTGCATTTTGCCGATTAGGAAAAAAAAAGTGCAGATAATGGCATGCTGCGTCCCATAGACTTGAAAGCAAAACTGCCCCTTGGACTTTAATGCAAAGTCGCGTCCCTTGGACTTTAATGCAAAGTCGCGTCCCTTGGACTTTAATGCAAAGTCGCGTCCCTTGGACTTTAATGCAAAGTCACGTCCCTTGGACTTTAATGCAAAACGCCAGCCACATTTATTTCATTTTTTTTTAATTGTAAAAAACTATTCGGTTTTCGTTTTTTTTGCTAAGTGCATCCTGAATTTTTGTTTTCAGCATCGGAATTTTCATTTCGGTGCACCACTAGTATTGCAGTTTCTTTCCTTTCTCTGATCAGAACTAAGGTGCTTTACCATGTGCTTTCTTTAAAGCTGACAAACATGAATGGATTTGTAATTGGTCTACAAAAGAGTGATTCATCATCCAGAAACAATCTATTAGCAAGGATACTTTTAGTTGATCTGCATTACAACCCATTGTTTAACACACAGGCAGATGTTCATTTGAAGAATCAGAAACAATCAATATAATTCCTATCAAGCTTGATCAACCTTCCAGTGTAAACAATGACTGAAAGCTCATAAATTGATCGAATGGAGGACCATGGTTTACAATTCATGTTCAGTTTGATTATTTTATTGCATTGGATGATTGAGTGAATTTGTCATATCTGTATGTGTGTGCAGTCTTTAAAATTAGCAATTTATGATGTAATCCTCTAATAGTGACAAAACCGACCAGTATTTTTAGAATTTTTATTTACTAACACTTGTTATTTTCATGACCCCTGGTGCCCAATCTGTGACCCTTTGTTAGTTATTGCGTGGCCCTCAGGGCCCTTGCAGACAGTAGTCTGTGTTTTCCTTACCTAGGTGCTTATTCAGGCCAATAAAGGAAAATATATTCCATAGGCCGGCTTATAGTATTGAAACGGTTTGGTTTAATTCTTTTAACATTATATTTTTTTCTCTGATGTACAGACATTTCATAATTTTTTTTTGTTTTTTTCTTATATTTTATAATGGATTCTACTGAGGAAAGCATCAAATGTACACAAGTACATTTTAAGGGGCCTTTATGGATCTTAAGTGAATGTAAAGGTTTGTTTATTTATAAATAATAAACATGCTATACTTCTCTCTGTGGAATAGTATCGTACAGAGCGCCCCAAATCTCCTCTTCTCGGTTTCCCGGCCGGCAGTTCTTTCTCCTTCTCTGTGTGCCCCCCATAAAAAGCCACTTACTAAGAGGGGGCTCCACCTACGGGCTTGCTCCCTAGCCATGCTGCCTGCATCTATCAACACAGACATCCCTGCCCCCCCCTTCTGCTTAAAAAAATTGATTGATAGCCACGGGAGCCAATGGTTCTTGGTGCTGCCTCTTTGAGCAGTGAGAGAGAGGAGAGAGCTGCTCAGATGGGCTCAGCACTGGATTAAGAAAGGACTCCGGTAAGTATAAGGGGGGTGAGGGGGCAGTATAAATAGAGGGACGTTTTTAACCTTAATGCAGGAAATGCATGAAGGTTAAAAATGTCCAGACTTTATGACCACTTTTGTGATTGATTCCAATTTTTATAAAACAAAAATAAAATTTTTGTTCTATATAATGGTGTGCCCAGCTTTTGTGGTAAGATATTGATTGTGTAATTGTGAAAATAAAACTGACTACAGGGCTTACCTGGAGCTGGTCTTTCAGTTCTAAACAGATGTCTGAAAAAAAACAGTGTGATATTTCTGCGGGCATTCAAAACGTATATGTCACCAGTTTGCCTCATTGCAAGAAAGTAAAAATCACATTTTGTGCCATTTTCACTGCATATTGAAATGGTAAATAATTACTGTATATCTTTTTTTTTTTTTTTCACGTGGAGTGTTACATGATTAGAATCAAAAGACCGCCATAGCTGTACTTTATTATGTAAGGAATGCGAAAAGAAGAAATGTTTCCTATTTGAATACATTTTAGTTTTCCAATATAAAGACTAAACTATTAATTTTTTTCCTTTTAAAAGATAAACCTTCAACCATGTCGGTCCAACGCAGGAAAATCATAGATGGCAACACCCATGTCTTGAAGTCTCCTGTTGGGATAGTACGGATTCTAGCAGCCATCTTCGCCTGTATTACATTCAGCTTGGTGGTCCACAGAGGAGGCTGGAGCGGCCGAGCTGGCGACTTGTGCATGTTCTCCTGGTGCTTCTGCTTTGTTGTCACCATCATCATCCTTGTTGTTGAGTTTGTAGGGATACAGAGCCGGATGCCAGTGTCCTGGAAGAATTTTCCCATCACGTTTGCAATGTTTGCTGTCCTAATGTGCCTTTCGGCTTCTGTTCTATATCCATTATACTTCCTTCAAGATAGGAGCTACGGCAATGAAACACACACTTACCAAGTTGTGGCAACTGTGTTCTCCTGCCTCACCACCTTGGCATACATCTTTGAAGTGTCGTTAACCAGGGCTCGACCGGGAGAAGTTACTGGCTACATGGCTACTGTGCCTGGAATACTGAAAGTCATTGAAAGCTACATAGCTTGTGTCATTTTCGTCTTCATTTCAGAACCCCCCCTGTATAATAATCATGATGCACTGAAATGGTGCCTGGCTGTGTACTGCATCTGTTTCATCCTATCTGTTGTGGTCATTATTCTCTGTGTTGGGGAGTGTACAGGCTGGCTGCCTTGTACTTTTGAAAAGTTCCTCAATGCTTATGCTCTCCTAGCTGTCTTGCTATATGCCTCTGCCGTGATCATATGGCCCATTTTCCAGTTCGATTCAAAGTATGGGGGCACAACACGAAGGCCAAATAGCTGCAGCAATCACCCTCGTATGCTATGTACGTGGGATAAATTGGTAGCTGTTGCGGTTTTGTCATCTGCCAATCTTATAGTCTACATCATAGATCTTGTGTATTCTGCAAGACTTATCTTTATCACTGTTTAAATCTGAAAATGATGTGGATTTCACTTGTCTCCATATTAATCAATAGAATTAATTTTAGTGATATAAATTGACCATTTCAAACTTGATAAGTAAATTATTTACATGAATTATTCCTTGTCAGTGTTGTAGCTAAAATTAGCAAGCCAATTTAATAAAGCATTTCAATGGCTGATGCCTATAGAGTAGCAGCTGCTGGAGACCAATAGCCAATAACTTCATTACTGACCTCTGTAAACTGACTGTAGTCGAGGTGGGTTTTAGGGCTTGCTAATTACATCAGCATCTACCAATGCACAAGACTTGGAATTCAATTCAAACTGCCTTTTGATCCACCCAAACTTGTATCCAGTTTTGCAGGGTTGAATATTTGCAATTCATTACTTTTCCCTGTCCTACTCATCCACAGGACACAAATTGATAAATCCCTCACTCATGTGACCGCCTCTGTTGGGCAACTCATTTACCTGCCAAAGTGGTTTGTATTTCTGGACATCCAGTTCTGAGATTAACATAGCCCTGCTAGAAAGCACAGTCAAGAGAATATCACCAAATTTCTCTGTTACAGTTAGGAAAAAGTTTTGCCTGGACATACCCTTCAAATTCTAACATCTTGATTTACTTTGGTCACTTGTTTACAAATGTCACCTTTAGTGAAGCTGCAATATTAAACCTAGGTGGCTTGCTTTTTCACTAGATGCGGTGAGCAAAGATGATGCTATATGTTAAGATAAGGGAATTCTCCTGACCAGATAATTGACCCAGATTGGTTAGATTTATGGGTACACAAATATTTGTCACGTTTGCCAGATCTACCGGGCAATACATTTAACCCTCCCCACTCAGATGTGAACTAGTAAGAGGACCTTTAGGAACCCCTAACTAGTTTACACCAATACTTCTAAGACTGGAAAGCAGGTCCCTAACTACTTCCTCTAGTTCACCTGTTGTCAACATGTAAGGAACTTTTTCTGATTGATGTAAAGAATGAAAGCACGTGAACGCCCACACCTACCCTTCATTTATAATGTCATATATCCAATAGGGATGTAGTATACTTCCATACTAGGTCTAGCATATAAGGCAGTATACAGAATAAAATGTACTTCTTTACCATTCAACTTGCATAATTTACCAAATAAAACCGTATACTAGTCACTAGTTCGTTAATGAGTGAATTAAAGCTGAACTCAAGGCAGATCTAATGGTTATTGATTCGTAAATGTGGAACTTTACCCATAACAACTAGATAAAAAATAATGTTCTTTAGCAAGGAACATACATTCCACATTAATGGCCCATGCACACTGTGGCCTTCAGTAGTATTTAGAAGCAAAATATTAGGTGGCTGCATTTAGGAGTGTATAGTGTTTTTTTCTGCCAGGAAAATGCTCTCAAAAACGTGAACCAGAAGGGTTTTTATTCTGCATCTAAACACTGAGCTTAATAAACACCTCTAGACTACCTAATACACATGGGCACATAGGATCGCATTAGCTGCTTCTAGAGGCATACAATGAAAGCTAAACACCTCTAGGAACAGAATTTTTTTTTTTTTGTTTTGTTTTCCATGGACCCTAATAAATTATGCTACCAAAATTAGTGTGTGCTGTTAATTGCCTCCAGTATTGCTCCTGTTTCTCCTTGCTGGAGGCTGCCATTTTGCTGAATCCCAGAGCCCCTAAGCAGCAGTAAATCTTTAGACTGTCAGCATATTCGCCTCTTGTGGCTCTGATTTTAAGCACGGTATAGTATAGTATTTTTTTTAAATTTTTTTTTACAGTATAGACACTTATTTTTAATGTTTTACATAGCTATACCTGCAAAAGGGGGCCAGCATGAAGTCCTCTATCAAGACCTAATTTTCTGACTAAAGTTCCACTTTAATAAACCTATACATGCGTTTAGGCAAACTGTAAATTCCTGAATCTGACTTGGCTGCGCCCAGACTGGGCAAAGGGACGGCAGTACTAGATGACAATCAGGTGTGCCAATAAAGGAGAGGATGGAGGAGCTCCTCAGTCTGCTGTTGCTCCTTCACTTTCCAATCACAGACTAGGGGTGGGAGATGACACCACGGTACACATGATTTAGATCAAATGGGGAAGAATAAGAACCTTTTAGTTTCAGTTTTTACTTCTGTCTGAGGCTGCACTAGAGACATTTTCTCTCATGGTAAAAAAAAGGTTTAACCATACCAGGATGTAAGGGAAAATCCACAACACACTCAGAAATAAGAGCATAAGAAGGCTGGAACTTGAACCCCTGTCAATTTTGTATTGCTCTATGTGTTACAGATTTTCCCTCACTTGCTGCGTGCTGAAATGGTTGTGATTAGGACAGTAAGTGAGGAAAGGGGAAAATCTCTGCAACAGTGCCCCAGACAGCAGTAAAAAATTGACAGGGGTTCTAACCCTACCTCACTGTACACCCTTTTGGCAGGACACACAGTTTGAGGGTCTCATTAATGCAAAACATAATATTTCTGTGGGTAGCCATATAAAAGCATAGTTTATTAATACAAAAAACTACTGAACTCTTCCACAGCATTTTTCTCATCTTGTTTGAAGTGTAGCTTCACCAAAGAACTGGCGAAAGTGGTCATTGGAGAAATATTGGCGTTGCAGTCCTGATCTCCACCTAAAAATTCTTTTTACTTGACTGTCATACTGATGTATTGGCCTTAGTTCCTTCTGACTTGCTGTCTCATAACCAGTTTACTGATCAGGGACTTCCCTTCCCACATACTTGTTCCAGGTCAGGAATGGCTGTGTACAATATATCCCCTGACAGCTTTTTCTTTACGTACAGAGTAAGAATAAATAACTTCAGGGTTTTACGAGGACCTGTCCCTTGCGCTTTGGTTTGGTGTAACCCGAAACAGATACTTTGTGTGTATTTGAAAGGTTCATAATTTCTATTTTTTTTTTGAATATGTTTTCTCCACATAATCCTGCCAGGATACTCTTTATTATCACATTCGTAAATGAACAATGTCAGCATATGCTACTATTGAGTCTAAGGCTAGATTTATATCTATGCGGCTCTGAAAGCCATTTTTGCGCAGGCATGGCAGCCTATTCGTTTGAATGGGTTGCTGTGCCTGTGTTTTCATGCATGCAGGAAAAAGGTCCTTGCACATTTTGCACCATGCTATTTCCTGCAACCAAAATCTTTCTTCAGATGCAGGAGTGCCATTAAGAATGAATGGCAACCGCTCAAGTGCAAAAGAGCAGAGCGGTTTAGCTGCGGGTGCAGAAATGGGTGCAATTTACATGCTGTCCTGCACCCCCACAAGTGTGAACCTAGTGCCTCAGTGAAAAAATGTTTATTAAAATGTTTTTTTTGTTTTTTTTTTGTATTTAGTTATATATTTTAGATGCAGAGGTTTATTGAAGTTTATGTTTTCACATGTTACTATTGTACAATGCAGTTTTTACACATAATTTTACTATCACATAATTCTAGAAAATCAGAGAGTGCAGAATAAGACTACTAATTCTGAAGCTAGGACTCCAAACCATATATTCGCTTCAGGTAGAGTGGGAAAAGGTCAGAACTTCTGTCGGGATTATATTCCAACACTTTCTTTAAAAATATTTGCCACCGGCTTTCCCTAAAGAATTACACTTCCAACCAAAGTATCTATTATTGTGTTGAGTGGACCTTTTAAAGATTGAGGAAAAATAATAAGTTCTATAGACTCGGTCCAACCAAAAAATTCTGGCCTCACAATTTGATTGTACAATCTCTTTTTATATCTACCAACAGCAATGTAGTGCACGGGTTCAACTTATTGGATCTAAATTGAATGGGCTGTTTGAGTCCCTTGAATTACAAGGTAATTAAATCTAAAGGAGGTTTTATAATCAGATGGCAAAATACATGGCTGCCTTTAAAGTGTTACTAAACCCGCAACCGTAAAATCTGTCTGTTTATGCAGGAAAGCTTGCTTGTTATGCTCTCTGTGGAACCTAAGGGGTTAATCCTCTGCATTGTGTAAAAAGGCTGTTTGATCCTGACTTCTCTGCACCTCCTCTTGTTCAAATGTCCACGCTGATAGGACAGACCTGAACCCGGAGCCCTTCTGCATATGCTCAGTTTAGTGTGTATTTCTAGAGAGAGCTTTTTTTTTTTTTTGCTTGGGAGAGTGCATGTGATCATCACAGGGCCAATCCGCACTGTCCAGGCAAAGGGTCAGGGGTTTTGCATCCTCCTAGAGCAGAAAGAAAACTCCTTGTACAAGCTTTAACCAGTGCTCTGCTGAACACTGATAGAAGTCACAAGACTGCTCAAACTGCTGTTGAGAAAAGGTATTTAGCAGTTTATATTTACTAAAATAATTGCATTTTTTTATGTTCTGTGTACTGTGGAAGACCAGATATAGTGGATGCACAGTCCTGGGTTTAGTAACACTTTAAGAGGGCCAGGGTGTACTATATTCCCTCTGAGGTGCATCTCAACAAAAAGTTCCTCGGTGGAATTTGGTGGAGCTCTTGTCAGTTTTCTGACTGGCTGTTAAACCCGAGAAGCTATTGAAAAATCCATCACAAAACAGGAGTAATACAAGTAAATCTATGACATCTTGTACAAACATGTTAAGAGATTGCCTGAAGTAGAATTCTAGGTTTAATTTGACTTTTAATATTTTTTTGGACCAAACAAATGAATTACCTTTACATAACTTTGCAGTTGCTGTGTGCATTGTAATATATTATTATGATTATTCTACAGGATTTATATAGCACCAACAGTTTACTTAGCGCTTTACAATGTGAGGACAAACAGTAGTTACAATACAATTCAATATAGGAGCAAACTGAGAGCCCTGCTCATTAGATCTTACAATCTATATACTGTAGTATCAGAGTCAGGGTGAATGCTTCTCCGCTATTCTATTCAAGCCTTCTATTTTTTAGCAGTGTATCAAGGCTTTCTCTGATTGGCTGAGGTGGAGAGATGGGCGGATGACATCACGATTTCCACCTCTGCCAATTAGAAAA